CTGTCCTTCCTTGGAATCCTGTTTCATCATAGTAAAAATATGATTTAGGTTTTGCCTTGGATACTGTCATGTTGATGAAAGTTCAGAATAGCAAAGAAAATTGTTTTGAGAATTTTTTTTTCTTTTTCCAGAATAAACATTCTTCTCCAGAATTTTTTTTTTTTTTTGAGATAAACTCTTGTTATGTTGCCCAGGCTAGACTTGAACTCCTGGGCTGAAGCAATCCTTCTACCTCAGCCTCCTGAGTAGCTGGGATTACAGGCTCATGCCACTATGCCCAGCTTCAAGAAATTTTTAATGTCTCTCAAAATAATCTTCATAAAATTATTTTTCTTCCTTTTACTTCTTATACTCTTGCTTGTAACTTTCTACCTTAATTTTTTTTTTATTGCCAGTGAAATAAAATTCAAACTTTTAGAAAGCTCAATTTAATTTCTCAGTTGATTCCATTAAGGAGAGAATAATTGAAGTTATGGGAGACTTCTAGTCATTCACCTTGGAAAGAAATTAAATATAGTTTATTTCTTAGATAAGCATATTATTATACTGATCAAGCTTAAGCTAAACACCAAAAACATTCATGTTTTTGTATTTTATGTTTGAATATAATAATTAACCAATTCATTAACATCAGTTTTATTTTTAGAGTGCTTTTTTTTAAAGTCTTTTTATTCAAAAGTACAGTGTGTATCTTTTCATTTGTGAAATGTTTTAAGCTACCTATTTTGATCACTATCTGGTCAATTATAATTCTTTTCTTTTTCCAATTTAGGGAAAACCTGTATTTGATAATTTGTAACCAAATATCCTGTTGTTTAATTAGTTAAAGAAAATATCCAAGTTTTTTTTCTCCCTCTAATAGATTCGACTTCAGAATTGTCAACTGAAGAATTAAGGCAATATCTTCATGAAACTTTAGAGGTAAATACTCTTGCTAATATAAAAATTCTTATGTAAATAAAGTCTGTTGATAGATACTTTCTTTAAAGACTACTAAACCCGTGTGGAAGGCAATTATTGGCTTCCCAGATATTCTTGATGAACACAGTCTAAATCTCCTAATTTTTTACCTGTGCCTCCTCTGTTTCTTACCTGATCTCTTAAAAAGCCTACTTATGTAAACATGCCCACTAGTTCTCCCCTCCACCCTGCTTCTCTAATCTCCTCCTTGAAAATAATTATGGCTTCCTTTCATCTGCCTTCCCTATATATGGCTTGAAATATATCTGACTTAATTTAACCTCTTTGAAGTCAGAAGATCAGAGCTTCTCCCAGGTGGCCTGAGGAGCCCATCCAGCTGAGTGGGAACAGCAGTTTCTGTGAGGGGTGCCTATCCTTTGGGAAACAGGAAGCCCACCTTAGTATGTGTTTATGATTCTTCTCATGGAAGCTACTGTATTAGTTTCCTAGGGGATGCTGTGACAAAGCACTACAAACTGGTGGCTTAAAACAACAGAAATCTGTTCTCTCTCAGTTCTGGAGGCCAGAAGTTTGAAATCAAGGTGTTGGCAGCTTGTTCTCTCTGAAGACTTTAGAGGAGAATCCTTCTTTGCCTCTTCCTAGCTTCTGATGGGTGCTGCAATCTTTGGCGTTCTTTGGCTGGTAGCTGCATAAATCCAGTCTCTGACTCTGCTGACATGGCCTTCTCCCCATGAGTCTCTGTCCAAATTTCTCTCATTTTATAAGGACACCAGTCATTGGATTAGGCTCACCCTAATCCACTGCGATTTCATTTTAACTTGATTACATCTGTTAAAGTAAATTTGGCCTGAGGCTGCCTCCTTACCTAACACAAGGAATTGCAATCTAACTTAGTACGTAATAGAATTGAGGCCAGGTACACAGTGGCTCATGCCTGTAATCCCTGCACTTTGGGAGGCTAAAGTGGGATGATAGCTTGAGGCCAGGAAAAGAGTTTTAATTTTGTATTATTAGTTCTCTGGCCTAAGTGAGTAAAAAGAAGAGATCTGGGCTTTTAGTTACAACTGGCACCTGATAGTGAAGCTCTCAATTTTAGCATGTCTGGTTCACTTACAAAGTCTAGAGGAATTTCCAACCTCATTTGTAAGTGCTTTGAGCCAAGGGTAAATGGAGACTAGCCAAAGTGATAATTTTGGGGTTGCATATCTTGTGGATAGGAAGACTAATTTTATTTCTGTCCTCAGGAGGTAGAAATTTTAAAAACTGAACTTGAGGCATCTCAACGACAACTTGAAAGTAAAGAGGAAGCACTGAAAATTCTTCAAAGCATGGTAAAAAGTTATTATTAAACTTTTATCACTTACACATTTCAATAATAATTGGTATGGTTTTGGCTTTTAAAACAAGAGCAGCAGTGCTTTAATATAGTTGGGGTTTTTAACGGTGGTATAGATTTTTTTAACAGCTTTATAATTGACTTATATACCATGAATTTCACTTATTTTAAGTGTACACTGTGATTTATGTTTACTAAACTTAGAGTTGTACCACTGTCACTACAGTCAAATTTTAGACATTTCCAACACCCACATAAAGGAAGCTCGTGCCTGTTTGCAGGCATTCCTCATTCTCACTCCCAGCCCTAGACAACCACTGATATACTTTCTGTCTTATAGATTTGCCTTTTCTATTTCATATTAAAAGAATCATACAGTATGTGACTGGATTTTTTTGCATCTGGATTCTTTTAGATATCATGTTTTTGAGATTCGTGCATGTCATAGCATGTGTCAGTACTTTCTTTTTATTACCATGTAATATTCCATTGTATAGACATACCACATTTTGTTTATCCATTCACCAGTTGATGCACATATGGGTTGTTTCCAATTTTTGACTGATAATACTGCTATGAATTTTTTCTTTGTGTGGAAAATTCATTCATTCCCACATTGATTGGAAAAGAGCCAAAACAAGATCTTCTGACTTTTGCGTTATCAAACTTTCCACAAAAGATGGTCACTGTGAAATTCTCGAGTTAATTTTTTATCTTAAAATGAAAATGTGAACTTCACTGTGCATTATAGGAATGATTAGAAATTTAATTTATGTTGATGCTATTTTTATTTTCTTAGGCAATACTTGGCAAAGCCACAAGTCATACCCAGGCAGTGCTTCAAAAAACTATGGAACAAAAGAGATTCTTGGAGAAGGTATTTGCCACTTTTAGTGTAGACTTGTTCAATCCAATAAGCTTTAAAAAGAATTTCGTTAAACTCACTGTACTAGTAGATATGTCATTTGTGCATACCCTCCGCTAGATGTGCTTTACTTTCTCCCTTTTGGAGCTTATAATCTAAAACAAATTGCCACATGGGCAAAGAATTAAGAAATTATTTCCCCATTATAAGGTAATAAGTGGGCTGCCAAATTGATACTTCTTATTTATTTATTTATAATTTATATAAATTTAAGGGGTACACATACAATTTTGTTACATGGATATAGTGTGTAGTGGTGAAGTCTGGGCTTTTAGTGTAACCATCACCAGAATAATTAATGTACATTGTACCCATTAAATAATTTCTCATCCCTTACCCTCCTCCCACCTTCCCGCCCTTCTGAGTCTCCAATGTCTATTATGTCTGTTATTCCCCACTCTCTGTCCACATGTGTATATTATTTAGCTTCCACTTATAAGTGGGAACTTATAAGCAGTATTTGACTTTCTGAGTTATTTTCACTTAAGATAATGGCCTCTACTATGATTTCATTCTTTTTTATGGCTTACTAGTATTCCTGTGTGTGTGTGTGTGTGTGTGTCTCACATTTTCTTTATCCAATCATTGATTGATGGGTATTTAGGTTGATTTCATATCTTTGCTATTGTGAATAGTGCTAAAATAAACATGAGTGTAGGTATTGCTTTGATATAATGATTTCTGTTCCTTGGAACATATACCCAATAGTGGGATTGCTTGATCGAATGGTTGTTCTATTTTTATTTCTTTGAGAGATCTCCATAGTGTTTTCCATAGGGGTTGTACTAATTTATGTTCCCACCAACAGTGTATGCGAGTGCCCTTTTCTCCATGTCCTCACCAACATCTATTATGTTTTACTTTTTAGTAATAGCCATTCTGAACTGGTGTAGGATAATATTTCATTGTGGTTTTAATTTGCATTTCTCAGGTGATTAGTGATGTTGAGCGTTTTTTTTTTCTTTTCTTTTTTTTTTATTTCAGCATATTGTGGGGGTACAGATGTTTAGATTACGTATGTTGCCCTTTCCCCCACCCCCGAGCATTTTTTTCATATGATTGTTGGTCATTTGTATGTCTTCTTTTGAAAAATATCTATTAATGTCCCTTTGCCTACTTTTAATGGGATTATTTGGGATTTTTTGTTGTTGAGTTGTGTGAATACTTCCTATTTTTCTTATTCTTTTTATTTTTTTATTCTTCTGCTTGCCTGGCAGGGCCTGCCTCTTTCTGTCCATCTCATCATCACTACAAAGGTACTTAGGAATCATCCTAAATGGTCACCTTTCCTGTGCTTTTTGTGCCATCCCTTGATGGCACCATTTGGGCTAAGACTTACAAGAGTGAATTTTGTCTACATGGAGTCGGGGGTGAGCACTGAGAAATCTGGGTTCAGTCCAGAAAATTTTGAAGATAAACAATTTAAAATTATTTCTATATTAAGTGAGCTTTGGCAAAATTTTTTTGAGTTCTAAAGAGGCATGTTTTGTGTGTTTACAAATGTTATAGACTCTTTTTGAGCAATAACTAATTTTTCCTCTTTAAACCATTTCTGTAAAATGATTACATGATTTATTTTAGTTATTCATAATGTCCTGAAATGATTTACTTGTGGTAATTTGCCGTGAAAGTGCTATTTTCTTTCCATAGGAAATAAATGCCTTACAGTGGGAAATAGAATTTGATCAGAATAGATTTAAAAATATAGAAGAATCTTGGACTAAAAAATGTGACAGGTTTGTATATTGTTATTTCATAATTTTTCTTTGAAAATCTTTAAAACATGTATAATTCAAATGTAGCTTAGGCTTTCTTCTTTTTTGAGCTGGCTGTAAAATATTCTAAAAATTATTATTCCTTGTCCACTTACTAGCTTCATATTTTTCTGTTAGTGTTCGTTTTTTTTTAAAAAAATAGTCTAAACTATATTTTAAAATATCGTATAAGAGCCATGTTTTTCAAATTATATCAGCATTGGAACTGTTTGTCAGTTTGTTTATTTTCTGAGACAGGGTCTCTCTCTGTCACCCAGGCTGGAGTACAGTGGAAGAATCATAGTTCACTGCAACCTCAAACTCCTGGGCTCAAGTGATCCTCCTGCCTGAGCCTCCCAAGTAGCTGGGACAACAGGTGTGCATCACTGTGCCCAGCTATTTTTTAAATTTTTTGTAAAGACTGGGTCGCACTGTGTTGCCCAGGCTCATCTCGAACTCCTGGCTCAAGTGACCCACTTGCCTTAGGCTCCCAAGTAGCTAGGACTGCAGGCACGTGCCACCATACCTGGCTAATTTTTTTTAATTTTTTTGAGAGATGGAGTCTCGCTGTGTTGCCCAGGGCTGGTCTCAAACTCCTGGCCTCAAGTGATCCTCCTTCCTTGGCCTGCAAAAATGCTGGAATTGCAAGCATGAGCCACAGTGCCCAGCCTACGAAATGTTTGATAGGTATTTTTATTTAAAAGTGTAAGCCTCTGGGCCGGGCGCGGTGGCTCACGCCTGTAATCCTAGCATTCTGGGAGGCCGAGGCGGGTGGATTGTTTGAGCTCAGGAGTTCAAAACCAGCCTGAGCAAGAGCGAGACCCCGTCTCTACTAA